TGGTCGTGCAATCCTTGATTGTGATCGGCTACAATTAGATTGTGGTCCGAGGCTGTGTTGGACTTTCGGAATATTCTGTATGTCCAGAACGCGTCTTAGCCTATTAGAATATGGATTGGAGTTCCTCGAAATCATGTAGAAACCCTGTAGACTGTTGGTTTCTTTTCTTTTTGGAGGAATTTGGAGCAGGATATTTTTATTTTTGGCAGCGAGAAGCTTATCAGCTTCAATGCATTAAATGATGTGGCATCATTGTGGCTTAATTTTCCGACTGTCGCACCAAAGTCGCCATGTCATTCTGTCAAAATCGTCAAGTGACGGGCCAGCAAGCCCAATTTCAAAATGAAGGTTAAGAATTCAAGTAGGGTGTAGTGGTTTTCTCTATTCGCCTGGTGCAAAGAATAAAGTTATATCAATTAATTAAAGTTATTCGCAATTTGTTCTGAAATCCAACCCAATTGCCGTACATATATTTCTATATTTACTATTTCTTATTTTTACTTCGGATGGCAGTAAGGATTTGGTAATTTTAATTTTTATAATTTGTTTTGTTACTATTAATCAATAATAAGTTTATAACAAATATTTTTTTAACGATTCGAAAACTCGACAGTAAATCTATATACTCGTGTGATACGCCATGACGTATAAGTAACATTAAAGTACCTACACCTGTGTTTACAACATAAACTTTTTATTAAAATTGAGAGCAAAAACCATGTCTAAATAAACTTCTAAAATATTGTACGCAAGCAACACAAAGGCAGTCAATTTAGTAGCATTCATAAAATTTTTAATGTCACATTCTACATTGTTTTTGTATTATTTTTTTTTCAACGACACATGTCGTCAAGCCCTCCTACGAATGCAACCCTTCACAGCCCATAAAACAACTTGAAAAGAAAGAGCCATTGTGAAATATGTTGACACGCCAAAAGGTTATGTGTGCACAGCAATTTCCGGCCTTTGTTGTGGATTGTATCCGTGCTAATGCCACGAACTCTCGTCGTCCTTCGCCACTCGCCACTCGCCACAGTTTAACTCTGCTCAGCTTTCGCTTGTCCAGCGCAATAAATCTCGACAATGTGCACAATTTAGCATTTTACAATGCGTCAATGTTGTTGAACAAGTAGTTTGGGCATTTGTTTGTAGCTCTTTGTGTGCCTGTGTGTGTGTGTGAGTGTGTGTGTAAGAATGAATGTTAGCATGTATTGGAACAACAGCAATTAGCGTTACACTGTCCAGTGCCTGTCCAGTGCGCGATTTAGGTGTTGGCTGTGGGTATGTGAATAACTCAAGCTGAAATAATGCATTTACATAGGTGCTTGTGTGTATGTACGCATGTATTTGCATGCATAGTGACATTTGTAAATTCATATTTAGCTCGAGGCAAATTTAGTATGTCAGATGAGTGCACAAACTACTAGCTACACACTTATGAGCATATACATATATATATATATACACATACACACGCATATATGTATATGCATGCATGCGTGCATTAGTATTACAGTGTGTAAATTGAAGTCAATTAATGTTAATTCGGTGTAGCAAGGTAGACTGTCTGGTGGCAGGTGGCGGTGATGGTGTTCTTCTTTTTTACTGCATTCGGCTTCAATTAACATAGTTTGGCATTTAACTGTACATCTGATTTGGACTAATGAATGCCAGTGTTATTATTGCTATTATTTTATTTAGTGCAAATTTTCAGTGCCAAATCGCTGTTGATTTATACGCATATGCAAGTGGGCAACTGTACTCGAGTAATGAAAAATTTTCCAAGCATTAAAAGAGCCAATTTGAGCATAAAATTATTCTTTGTGTACTTTTTTTTTTGTTTTGTATAGTTGAACTATGTTGAGTTTTGTTGTGCTTTATATATATCCTTTCGTGTCCTCAATAATCTTTACACTCAAACCAAAAATGAAGGTTTCAAAAGTTATTTCCTCTAAATTCTAACTCTAATACTTTAAAGTCTCATTTATTTTATTTGAATAAAAAAATTAATTTCCAAAAAAATCAATTTGGAAGAAATAAAAATTAGATTTTCAAACTTCTTGAGTTTTTTAATCAATCAAAAAATATCCACATTTATATATAACTACAGCAGAGTTGTTTAAAAAAAAAAAATTATGAAAAAGTGTCCCACCAAAAAATAAAGCTTTTACATAATTCATAATTCCATATCTATCTGTTAGATGCTTAAAAGCGCTTTTGCAATGTTTAATATTGAGTTCTTTTGCAACTTTTTCTTCACGGTGTGTCCCAAAAATAACCGAACTTTATATTTAAATCATACAACATACAGCGCCATCTATTGAACATTTGGAACATTAAAAAGATACATTCATGCTCTTTCAAACGCACCTAACACGATGTAAGTCGGATGACAGATGTAAAAGTGACAGCCATTTCAATAAAACCAAAAGTGTGCTAATGGTTCAAAAATAAAATGGAACAAAGAGCAAATATAAAATTTTGTGTCAAACTTAAAAAAAAAAGTAATGAAAAAAGTTTATTATGATGATTGTATGAGTCGTACGCAAGCTTATACGTGGTTCACACGATTTGAAAATGGTCGTGAGGATTTAAATGATACCCTAGAGCAGGACTTCCAGAAACTAGTAATCGTGCTGAACTGGTGGAAAAAGTCCGTGAAATCAATGGTATCAATGCAAATTTTACTACGAGAATGTTGGCTGAGGAATTGAATACGAGTAAAAACACTATTTGGAGAATTTTAATTAAAAATTTGGTGAAAAGAAAGGTCTGTGCGCGATTTGTTCCACATGAATTAAATGACGACCAAAAAATCGCTCGAATTTTGAATGAAAAAAGGGATTTCTCTCATCGACCATCCTCCGTATTCGCCTGATCTATCACTATGTGACTATTTTTTATTTCCAAAACTGAAAACCAAGATAAAGGGAGCATTTTATGATGATATCCCAGCCATTCAAGCAGCCGTAACCGAGGTAGTGAAGAACATTTCTATAAATGACATAAAAAAATCTATGCATGCGCTGGTTGATCGTTCCAAACATTGTGTTGAGTCAAATGGAACCTTTTTTTAATAAATAATAACTTTCAAAGATAATATAATGTGTATTTTATTTTATATCCATAAAGTTCGGTTATTTTTGGGACATACTGTATTTCAAAATTCTATTTAACCCTATATTCTGATCATTCCTGAATAATCATTAAATTGAGCACACAAGTAGTCAAAAGTGAACTTCCGACTTACTACATGCAAAACTGATGGGCTTAAATATGAAAAATACACAGACAGGCATATACAGCCTAACCGAGAAATAGAGAGAGAAACTGTGTTTCTATTTAATAATATCTAAGGTGAATTAGTGAACACCTTAAGTCACCAGTTAGCACTGCACAGTTGAGACTGCGTCACGGTTAGTGAACCAGAATGGATGAAGAAAAGGCGTCTTGTTCTTCAGAGCACCGCAGTACAGTATTTCAACCAAATACTACTAGTTGTAGTGCACCTTTATCTCCGCACCACATGGCTTCAAGAGACACTGTTACTTATGTAGTGTTCTGCCACGTGTTGGAGCACTGATTTGGCATTGTAGAATGGCACTCAAGTGGCAAACCTTGAATTTTGTTAGATTTACATAGTTGCACAGGGTGCTACATCTTTTATGCGGGCATGTGAACGTTGAATACCTTTGAGAAAAAACAACCGATTTCTATAAGTGATGTATTTTTATTCGGCTTGGTTTCTTACAGTTGGTTTGGACTAGTTTTTGGAATCAATATCACTCAAGTGGCTACCTTTAATAGCAATTACAAAATGACTCCTTTTTTCTGCGTTTGCCATAACCTTTCCGAGCATCTCGGTTTTTATAGCGTCAATTTCAGCACGAATGTTTGCCTTGAGCTCATCAATAGTTTGAAGCTGGTTGGCGTAAACCTTCCTTTTCAGATACCTTCAAAAAAAAAGTCCGGTGGGGGTTAAATCAGGTGATTTGTCAGATATGCACCTTGAGTTAACACAATGGAACGACTGCTTTCGATTTAAAGTGTCCCTATTTCAGCGCGTTATTTCGGTATGAAACGATCCATGGCAAAAGTTGACCGAATTGACGTTTCCAAAACATTTTTGATGCAATCGCTCAGTTGGTAAATATGAAAGTTATTATATTATAAACCGACATAAAAGTTGAGGCACCCTGTAGTTGTCTGCAAGTGGAGCTTGAATCATTTCTGCAGCTTTTTATGAATCGTACGGCATTGAGTGCCATCAGAATACGGGTGTTTCATGTGCGTTTTATATGGAGTCCCCTTCGCATCAAACATCGCTACCTGAACCTAAGCTAACTCACGTTATAATATAGAATTCTTTCGCTAAAAAATAATATATTTTCTTCATAAAGCTTATTTGGATGTCTTCAAATTGCAACTGAACTTGTTTTAATTTCGTTTAAATATTAATTTTTTATTCACGAGTATGAGCGAGATCTGGCAACAACGACACATTTCAATATTGTCTGCTGTCAAAGAATGAAAATTCAACTTTAAAAAAAAGGTATTCATAAAATATGGCAAAAGAATATAGATTAAGCTGGGTCTTCAAATATACATTAAAAGACGAACTGCGCCTTTTTACGTGTTTTAAATAAGCAAAAAAAAAATTTTCTTTTTTTTTTAAGTTTACTACAGTAATTTATGAATTTATGCACTTTTACTCTGAGAAGAAAATTAGCATTAGCGAACTTTCACAATCATTTTATTAGATGCTATCAAGTACATTTGCTGCAGTGTGTCTCTCTGTGTGTGTAAATGTTTGCGTATGCTGTGAAGCAGCAGGTGATTTAAATATCATTCAAGTTTCTTCAGTCACCGGAGAGTGTAGAATAGACCTGGGTTGAGGTATCAGCGTGTCGGTAAGTATCTGCCGCTAAAACTTTATTTCTCACTTAACTATGAAATTATATTTTATATATTAATTTATTCAACATGCACTTTACACTTACCTATGCTAAGTAGAGAGAAAATGACAGCTGGCAGCAGGTGTTGCCACATTGGCGCGCGCGCGTCTAACTGTCGGGAATGCATGCTGTGCTGCCGTTGCTGGTGGTGCTGCTGCTGCTATTGTTGCAAGGCGACGTAGTAAATGCAATTTAAAAAAAAAAAATACCTTTTTTCTTTTGTGCGTTTTTTATTTTCTCATTTAAACACACACACACATACACATACAACCGCTGGTGCGACCAGAACTCGTAGTATCGCAGCAACACTGATTTATTTATTTAGTTTTACCTCTTTCGCAGTTTCTTTTGCTCTCTCACTCTCACTCAGTGAACCCTGCGGGAGTTGTGGGGTGGAGCCATTGTCACCGTTATAGTATGCCGGCTTCTCATTGCGGATATGTGCACTAAATTACTGTCTATTCAGACAAATAAAAAGTCTCTTTCTTACTGCACTCCCGTCACTTCTTCGCACTTCACTGTCCAAACGAACTACTCACTACCGGCGCCACCAAATGCCAGTCGCTGGTGTTGCAATGACAGCTGGAAGAGTTGGTGTGCAATGCCGTTTGGCGGTGGGTATTGTTGGGCGCGTTTATATTGTAATTATTTTGATTATTGGCGGCAGTCTTTTGTTTATTTTGTGCGAGTGTCATGCTGCCACTGTCAGTTCGTATACTTTTTTACGTCAGCACAATATCGCGTTTTTATGTTTATGAATATTGTTTTATTTTGATTTGTGTTTTAAAAATTTATTTCGCTTTATTTCCGCGCTAGTGTTTATTTGTGTCACTTCCTTTTGCGAAAATAAAATAAAATAAAAGTAAATGAAATTTAAAATGTAAACTCTATACCCACACGCAAGTGAAGTGTATCTTTATATATATAATGTGTATGAAATAAAGAAAAAACGAATTCGCAAAATTTTTTGAAAAAATAATTTTTTTTTTTATATATATTTATTGAACCGAAAGGGCCGCAAGACCTGTCCCTCCGCTTGCGCTGCTTCGCTTCAGCAGTGTCTTTTTTTATTTTACGATTATTTTATGAATTTTCAGTAACACTTCAGCGCCACGAAAGTTTTTGTTTTCATGTATGTGCACAACAGTTTATAAAACTCTGCCTGAACTTGTGCGCCCCTGTGTGCCCCTGGCAACGTCAATAAGCAGGAATACGTGGTGACTTGAAGTTTTATTGCGAGCTTCTCATAGTTTGACTGTGCCACTTTGCCACTTTGCTGCTTTTTTATTGCCTTCGTGTTTGTTTTCTCAAGCATTGGCAAGTGTGTGCCTGTTTGTGTGTGTGTCGGTGTGAGCTATATTTATTTACTTTGTTGCCTGTATTCATTACTTTTTGCTCATAGGCCGTTTGGGCTTTGAGATTTTATGTTGGTTTTTTTTTTTTTGCTTTCTGATGTTGTTTTTGTTGTTATCTACTTATGCATATTTCTTTTAAATATTTGTTTATGTACTTGTTTTTTTTTGCGATTTCTTCTAAATGTTTTTTATTGCACAGTTTGACCTTTTCAGTTCATTTGCGTAACTAACGTAGATTTTCTTGCAACGATTATCGATAAACAGAAGAAGAACTTAGTCCGCTCGGACTTTCTATTCACCCTGACCCCTTTCTCACTTTAGCTTGGCCACTTGGCCATTTAGCAACATTTTCTTCATCTCGCTTTCCTTCGCTTCTCTTCACCTCTCTTGGTCTTTTTTTACGCTTGGTTGCCTTTCGTTCGGTTTTACTGACTTTCCAATGTATTTGCTTAGCTTCCCCTACTTTGGTTTATGCTTTCGCCACCACCAGCACTACACTTTTGTTGCTCGGTTCGCTTGTGTTTGGACTCTTCTTGCCTCTTGTTGCTTTGCCACTGGTTTATCGTGTTAACATTCTCAGAGGACCTGCGATTTATTGTTATGGTTCATTTGCTTATTTGCTCACCGAATTTATCTGCAAGAAAAAAAGAAAGCAAAATAAAGGTAGATATTGTTAGTGGAAAGGTGGGGTAGGAATAAACAATAAGTGTTTGTTTAATAATAAATGGTTATGCTTTCGTTGCGCTAAGTAAAAAAAGATTTTTCTCGTGCCTATTTACATGGCGCCCACCTTGAGGGACTCTATGATTGATTAAGCTTTAGCTCTGCCAAATCTATATAAATCATATTTCTTTTTTTTCACTTCTATTTTTGTGATTTATGTGCGAATCCATTCAGGTGGTAAGTGTTCTGGGTTCTATTAAACGTGCGAAGTGCAGCTGGTTGAGAGATTTTAAGTGCATAAATATTTACTCTTCTGGGACATATTTTGAAAATTCAAAATTTTGGCTATAAATCTGCATGAAAAATCGACTCTTCGCATGCTTATTCGTTAAGGGAGTCATTAAAATGTAAGAAAATTCTTAAAAACAATTGAAAGTTTGATAAAATGTGTATAGATTCTGTCGCAAAAGGTTGTCGTGAATTTACTTTCATAGAAACTTAAATTTTTAATAATTTTTTTTTGCTATAATATTCAAGTTTTTCTACTAAGAATAGTTAGATTTCGTTCTTATTGCACTTTACAGTACACAGAGCTGTGTAATGAGAGTGAAGCAGAGAGAAGAACAGAATTGCAGCAATAATCTTTGAACTTTTAGTTCAACTTTCAAACAATTTATGGAATTAAATACTCAAAAATCGTGTTAAAAATTGTAAAAAATATTTGGAAATTTTTTTTTAACTTTTTACGTACACAAATCAAACCTAAGTAAACACGTTAAACAAAAATTTGGAAAGTTTAAGCCATGAAAACTGCTCGGCTGCTTGGGTATATTCTTTTGATAGTCTCCCAACTGGCATATAAGAAACTCAAATTATATACTATGACTTTAGTTTAAATACATTTTTTTCAGAGTTTGAGGCTATCCGGCAAGTGGCTAAACCCAGAGAAACTGTCCAACAATAAGACATTCCTCATTTTAAATCATATTCCGCTGGAAATAACAAAAATTTGAACTTTATACTCTAATGTATTTGCTGTTTATTTTTTTTGTTCCTTTGACCTTCAGTATCTGCAAAGGTAGCAACTAAACAAAATTATTAGTGCGGTCACCGTTCTCGCCTAGTTCATGACATGAACAGACAATTTTTCAAGTTTTATAAAATCACGTAAGCCTGGCTCTTACGCTATGATTTGTGTTGGCGACAAAATAGTTCAGTCTTAAAATTATTATCAAGAAAGATGGTTAAACAATTTTCAATAATTTTATCTTCATTGAAATGCCTCAATATTTCGACTTACAGAAGCTCATTACTTTCTGTCGCTCGACCAAATTTTTCAAAACAAATTTTCGATTGTGTGACCACTACTGGCTACAGTGGGGACTTCAAACCTGTATTCCAAGTCATGTATCACCTCTGCATAGCCTTAACAACCCCTCTACAAAAAAAAAACAGGCAGATTAGCCGTTTCAGCTAAAATTTTCAAACACAGTACTCAAAAGATCAATTACAACATTGTTAGGTTGGCTGTATATAGCTAATAGCGTCATCCCCGATGTCTGCTTCTTCTTCTACAACATTTGTAAACATATAACAACTGAGTATGGCATAATAACGATCGGTATTGACTGTAATGCCAGCAACTATCTTGTTTTGGAGAAATAATTCATCAATTATGCCATCGCTTCTCATGTAGCACTAAAGAGTCATATTTCTGTTTGTTAACGTGGTCGTGCAGGTGAAAATGAGCTTAATCGGATAAATTGATTTTTTGTGAAAAATTATTACCTTCTGCCAAGCAATATTTAACCCATCGAACGCAGTTGAAGTCGCAACGTAGGGTCATAAGACTACAGTTTTTACCACCATTGGCTTAAATTGGCCTACATACTGAGGTCTTTAAGCAAAATCCTGCGCAAAGAATGGCGGAAAATATTTCCTGATTTAGGTAGCTGTACGTGAACACTTCGAGCAAACGATAGCCGAGTGATTTTCACTTCAAATCTGTGTGTAAATTTCTGTAGAGTACAAGACATCTCGTGAGCCACAAAATTTCAACTGTAGGTGGCGCACCCTATGTACTTTAATTTTAATATTTATAATTTTTATGTCTTAATATTATAAATTATTATTAGTCTTTTTTTTCAAAGAAAAAGTCAAAATAAAACTGAAATAGGAAATTCCTGTCAATGCGTTGGCAAGCTTAAATACAGTGGTAATTCACCTTATATTGGATGAGTGCATAAGTTCGTACCCGATTTCAAGTGCAAACTGAAATTGAAATTTTTTGAAGAAAGCGCTTTTATTAATCAATTATGTATTCGCCATCATGTTCGGCAATCCACTCCCAACGTTCAACCAATTTACGGATGCCTGATTCATAGAAATCGCGCGGTTTCTCGTTGAAAAAGGTGTCAAGGTTGTTTTTGACGTCTTCCACATTTTTAAATTTTTTTCTATTCAAATTGCTCTGCAGCGATCGAAACAAATGATAATCAGAAGGTGCAATGTCGGGTGAATATGGGGGATGCGGCATGATTTCCAAATTCAATTTCTTTCTTCAATTCGACCAATTGCTGACAATACTTGTTGGTGCAGTGATCGTTTCTCCAGCTGGCAAGAGCTCAAAATAGATCACGCCTCGAATATCCCACCAAATGCACAGCAGTACCTTCATCGGATGCAGTCCACCTTTCGACATCGATTCCGTCCCTTCGTGTGCCGGTTTCCATGTTCTTTTGCGTTGAACATTGTTGTACAGGATCCATTTTTCATCACCAGTCACGAGCCGATCCAAAAAAGGTTCGTTTTTGATCCGTCGAAGCAAAGAAATTGCTGTTGACATACGGTCCACTTTGTTTTTTTTTTTTCAATCAACTGATGTGGCACCCATGTATCGAGCTTCAAAGTGTATTCAACCTTTTTTAAACCACGAAACGCAGTTGATTTGTTGACGTTCAATTCACTGGCAACCTCTTCCGTCGAAATACGTGAGTTATTCGCAACTAAAGTCCTTAGAACATCGTCATCAAGCTCAGAAGGCCGTCCACTGCGAGGTTGATCTTCGAGGTTAAAATCTCCAGAACGAAATTTCGCGAACCATTTCTTTACTGTGCGGAGTGCTGGATCACGGTCCAAATAAACTT